CAGAAAAATTACCACTAATTCCGCATAATGACCGTTTTCCCAAATAAACCTTCACATTACACAAACAGTGTCAGGGGCGGGCAGAATAAAATCAGCTGGCACGACGGAGTCATAACACAATGAAGTCCATCCTCCTGTCCATTTGGATTAAGTGGTTGGATGGTGGGGTCACACAACTGATCCTTTGCTTTTAAATGAATCAACAATTTCTTCTCAACCATTCTGATGATGATGGGCTGACTTGGGTAAACTTTCTAAATCATAAAATCCATCTTTGGCCCAAGACCTGCTCTCCGCACCACAAAGCAAGCAGTCCCAGCAGTAGAGCTTCTGCTCCGTGGTCGATCCTGTCATTCAGGGGTATCGTGGTGTAACTGCTGGAGTTGAATACCTCTCAAAAGCCTCTTTTGCACCAAACTAAGCTATAGTGTAAGTTGTCCTTTGCCGATTAACTCCAACTTTTCATTTAAAGTTAGCATGGATAATAAATTTACAGTGACTTCCTCCTCACTGGCATTAAAGTTACTTTTGGCCTCCACAATAATCCAACAAGCTAGCTAGCTTTTTAGCTAGCAAAGAGCTAAACGTCCACAGATATGAATAAAATATACAGATACTCTTACATTAAAGCAATTAATGGAAATGTCTTACCAAACTGATCTGTGTTTGTTGTGCTTCCTGGCTTCGCTTTGGTGGAGTCTGTAGTGTCCAGTGGTGTTTATATATTGACAAATATGCAAACAGAAAAGAAAAAAGCATAATCCACGTTAATGTCCACTATCAGCTTAAGTAGCAAAGAATGTCAGAATTTTAGTGTTTTCATATATTAGTGAAGACATTAGGGTATGGTATTAAAAAAGGCAGCACACAGTGGATTGTAATAAAGTCCTCTACAAATGCGGCCATTGCAGCTTGGTGAACACAACAACTGAGAACATTAGAAGACATGTTTGTGCTAAGTATTTTATTCAAAATTTTTTTAATATAATACACTAGAAGAACACCAAGCATGGCCTTCTAAGCTGCCATAGTTGTAACACTTGAGTAACACAACACAGTGTTCATCGCACCACCATTTCCATTTAAATAAATGATTTGCTATCTTTTATCAGGGCTGATTGCAGCCCTGGTCAATTGTGTGAAGACTGAGTCTAATTGATTAAACAGCGGAATCGGATGTGCTCCTTCCTTTTGGAATGGGAGTCTGCACCCACACTGGCCTTAAAACCCTCCACATAACACTGACAAAGCCATGCAGTGTGCTGTATGCTGTCAGGGTTTTTCATGACAGATTATGTCAAGTAATATCACAGTTATTACCATTACCAGTAATTGTCATGACAGGTGTCATAATGTTGAATGCCATGAATAGTTTTTTTCACATGCTAAGCTTTGCTCCGTGTACAACCCTGCGTCTAGAAAAGCTGAGATGCTCTGCAAAATGTGAAGAAAATCAGAATGCAATGATATGCAAATCAGTGAAACCCTATGTTTGATTGAAAATAGTATAAAAACAACATATCAAATGTTGAGACTACAAAATTTTATTGGGCTCAGGAACACTTCAGAAAACCATTGCGAACACAGTTCGGCACTGCATCCACAAATGCAAGTTAAAACTCTACCATGCAAAGAAGAAACCATACATATACAGGATACAGAAACACCACCGCCTTCTCTGGGTCTGAGATCATTTAATATGGACTGAGGCAAAGAGGAAAACTGTGGTCTCACAAAATTAAAAGTTGAAATTCTGTTTGGAAATCATGGATGCTGTGTCCTCCAGGCTAAAGAAGAGAGGAACCATCCAGCTCATTACCCATGCACAGTTCAAAAGCCAGCATCCGTGATGGTGTGGGGGTGCATTAGTGCACATGGCATGGGTGACTTGCACATCTGTTTTGGAGCAACATGTCCTGCCATTCAGATGACTTTTTTTTCAGCAAGAGAATGTCAAAACACTTTTGCACATGTTACAACAGCATGGCTCTGTAGTAAAAGAGTCTGAGTACTAAACTGCTTTGCCTGCAGTCCAGACCTGTCACCCACTGATATCATTTGCTATTTAAAATACTATATTTAGCAACAATGGGAAAACATTTCATTTTCAAAACTACAGCAGTTCATCTCCTCAGTTCCCAGAGTGTTGTTCAAAGAAGAGGTGATGTAGCACAGTGGTAAACATGCCCCCGTCCCAACTTTTTTGAAACAAATTTCCCAGTTTCAATCTGACATGTTGTGTTTCTACTATTTTCATTTAAACATAGGGTTTAAATGATTTGCACATCACAGCATTATGTTTTTATTTATATTTTGAGTCCGAACCTTTTTGGAAATGGGGTTGTACTCTAGTAGTATATATTTTGTGAAAGATATTATGACACTTGAGACAACTGACAACTGCCTTACAACATAATGAATTACAGAATGTGACATCTTAAAATCCCTGTTGGTGCAGTGGCCTACAGATATGTTATGTCACACATCATTATAATAACTTTACGATGCTGTCAGAGATGTTGTAAGAACATCTACACATATCATGATGGAATTCATTCATTCTAACTGCCTCACTGTGACAGACTGATGAGAGCAGTCTTTGGTAATGTTATAAGGAGACTGCCCAGAGTTTTCCCTGTTTTTTCGGTCTATCCAAAGATTTCTCCTTAGCTGGCTCAGCTCTTCAGCCTAATGATGCCAGACAGCCAGGATGCTATAAAAGCTTACACCATTCAGGGAACCGTGACTCTTAAACATCTGCCGTCTGACCCCCATCCTCTCCTAAAGTACAGCAAAAGTTAAGAAACTAAAATTAATATGATAGTTCAGCCCTATAAATGCAATGAACCAATAGCCCAAAGAGGGCAAAATGGAAATCCTCCTTACAAATTATCACATCATTGTACAAGTTCTGTGTGCTCTTCAGAAAATGCATGACAGTCATGATCTCCTACCACACAGAACCAACAGCATTTCATACAAGCCTTCACATCACGACAGCACACACAGCCAAGCAGCCATGAGAGTCAGACACATCAGCGTAAAAAAGACCACTAATTCTGCTTAATGACCATTTTCTCAAATAAACCTCCACATTACACAAACAGTGTCAGCGGCGACCAGAATAAAATCAGCTGGCACGACAGAGTCAAAACATAAGGAAGTCCATCCTCCTGTTCTTTTGGCTGGAGTGGTTGGATGGAGCGGTCACACAAATGATCCTTTGCTTTTACATTAATCAACAATTGCTTCTCATGCATTCTGATGATTATGGGCTGACTTGGATAATCTTCCTAAATCACACAATCCATCTCTGGCCTGAGACCCTCACCACGCCCAACAGCAAGCAGTGCCAGCAGTAGAGCTTCTGCTCCGTGGTCGATCCTGTCATTCAGGGGTATCGTGGTGTAACTGCTGGAGCTGAAATGCCTCTCAAAAGCCACTTTTGCACCAAACTAAGTTATAGTGTAAGTTGTCCTTTCATTTAAAGTTGGCATGGATAATAAATTCACAGCGACGTCCTCCTCACTGGCATTAAAGTAACTTTCGGCCTCCACCATGATCCAACAAGCTAGCTAGCTTTGTCTCTAGAGCCTGCATGTCTCCACATTAGGCAGATCTTGGCATAAAGTTAGCGATAACAAAGCCCACCCCTTTAGAGGGAAGATATGATTGGTCAATTTTACTGTCATTTGAAATTGGTCTTTGAAGTACTATTGCTTGGTCCTCTGCAAATTTATAGCTGGACCACCAATCACCAGCATTCTTTCCAGCAATAGCAGATACAGCAAAATTCTGATAGAGGGAGAAAACGGGGCTTCGTTAATTTAATCCTTCTGATGGTTCCCCTCTGCCCTGTGATAATCAGAGATGTCCAGAAAGGCTACATCTATACATCTCACAGAATAGTTTAACTCAAAACTCTGAAATATCGTTTTGATCGTTTCAAGCCTGGTAGACCACCTGGGAATTCTGTATACACAGTTCCATTCAGTTCATTCATTGTCTTTGCAGTATTTCATTTGATCATGTTCAGGAATGATTAATATTTTCAAAAGTTTTGTTAGGTATTCTGTTTCATTTTCATTTATTCTTATGGCCAAACTCACTGTATTTTGCTGCTTAACGTGCAGCATGCAGAAAAATCGGCTCTGACCTTTCAACATAAGCGTCAAAATGAAAAGCGAAACGTTTCACATTGCTCACGCTATGCAGAGCGTGTTTTAAAATAATAAAAAAATGTAAATTAATAATGACACTGTGGCATTCGTGAAGACACAGACGCAGGAGATAATGCACTTTAAAGGTGAATGCTCTTTTATTACAAAACAGCAAGGGAGAACCGCTGCCCAGTGCTAACCAAGCTGCTGTGATAGCAGACAGGTCACTTCTAGCCATACAATTCTCCTTTATGTTAGACACTAGACCCACACAAACTACCCACAACCCAAAACTGAACAAACAAATTATATTTACACACACTCAGCTAGAAACAGCACCTAAAATTATGAATATTAAGGTCTCCCCAACAGCCAGTGAAGCACCTCCCGAGAGCCTCTATGTATGACACTTCCTGCCCAGCTTGGCCCAGATCTATTATTCTAAAGGTGGGGCTACTCAGCCCCGTGGGAATAAATCTGTTACAACGGTACAAACTGAGTCAGTCGGGGGCTCGGACACAAAGAATGCAGACGTAGTCAGAGATTCTCTTGGCTTCGGGTAACGCTTGAGCTAGCTTTTAGCTAAATGTCCCATTTATGTATGGTAAAGCTGTGGTCAGTACAGCTGTTAATAAAGCACAATGCATTGTGCATAAGCTCAGTGTCCTTCTTTCCTAGAGGTAAATGCTGCAGTATATTCAGCCGTGATCCCTGATGATCCTGTTTAATCTTCCCCCCAAATAACACATCTGTCATCAGAAGAGGATGTGAGTCTTTAACAGAAGTTGGCACCCAGGGCTGTAATGATGTAAACAGTAGTAATAAAATAATGTATCTCACCAGTGACCTGTAGCTGAATCTCTGTGTAGAGGGAGTAATAAATGACTGACTCTCCTCCAACACTCACTGCACAGAAATAAACTCCTCCATCATCTTCACTCACATCACTGATTCTCACACTGACAACTTTAGAGTTTCTGTCATCAGAGAGGGAGAATCTGTCTCTCTGAGTCTCTGTGGTGTCGATCATTATAGGAATATAATGACCATCAAGTTTGTAGAAGTACTTGCTGTGTCTTTCAAACTGCTCTGGATATGAACAGCTGATGGTGACAGTCTCTCCCAGATAACCAGACACAGTCTTTGACCCCAAACAACATGGATCTGTTAATCATACAAAGTTAATAAATATATTAATATATCTACTAATGTTGTGTATGTCAATAGAAATTTATTGAATCAAATTACTGAATTAAAATTAATGTTTTCCCCTTAAATATATTTCAGGGCTTCTCTGTTATTTGAGCATCTGCTCAGTTTGGAATAATGACAGATTTTTTAATGCTAAAATGGATTAATTTTATAGAAACAAACAGATTCTAAAGGTTCTCACCTCTGATCACTTGGAGGTTAAACTGATGACTCCACCTCCCACCCTCTCCACAGCTATATGTCCCAGCATCCTCTGAGCTCAGCTGTCTGATGGTCAGTATGAGGGCTGTGTGACAGTTATCATGTAGATCAAATCTGTCTTTATGAATCCATGTGTTACACTGTTGAGACTCAGTAACTGTAATATAGTCACACTCAGTTTGTGTTTTCATTTTGCAAAAAAACCTCCTTTCCCTTCCATAATTATTGTGTCTGCAGGTGATTGAAACTCTTCCTCCCAGGAAGCCGATCACATCAATACCAGCCGCTCCACCTGTCAATGACATTCAACATTTCACTGACCTCTCTAATCTCATTAAGAACAACTACACACAGCTCCTCATCCATCATGTAAAATCTGAATCTAACTCTGATCAATATGACCTGTAAATATCTCTGTTTTGTAGTTTGACTTTCTGTTGTTTCTACTTTATTTTGAAGCTGTGAATCTGACCTGAGATCAGGTGGAGGGTGAAGATGAGGAGAATCTTCATTCTGGTCTAAACTTCAGTCTCAGTGATGTTCATATAAACTCCAGTCCACCGTTCTCCAAGGTCAGTCCTGTATTGTTCAGAGGGAAACGGCTCCTTTCAGTCCTACACAAAACACTATTGTGTCTCTGGCTGGTGTTGGTCATTTCCTGTTTCTTTAAAATGAGTCATATATATTCAGCTTCACAGCTCCTCCCACCAACATCACTGACTAAACACCAAGTGTAAGAGATAAGGAGGGGCTGAATGTTGATGTATAGTATATAGTGATGTATAGTCTTACTTTGTCTGTGAGGAGAACGTACCTAATGTCCCTTTCACTGCTCTCTGGTCTAAATAAACACAGTCCAGCCTCACTGATCTCACCAGTGTAACCAGACTGTGAGATCTTCCCACAACAAAAATCTGTCACACATGAATAATGAAAACATTTGACTATGGTGTGGTCAGTCTACTATATATACGCAATGAATTCAGTATAGCGATTAGACACTGTATATAAAAACTACAATAATCAATAGTCAATAATACAGTAGTTATTATATTTTGCTTTTCTTACTCTTCTGTCCCCTTCTGTAAGTGGTGATACTGTATGTCCACTTCACACCTTTACACTTCATGTCTCTAAAGAACAGGTTTATGATTTGAATATCATTTAATGGTGCAGCATCTTTGGCCTAATGGCACACAGAGGAAGCAAAGCCAGGAATGAGTTTAGTAACCAAATATTCTTTAGAACCCCACTAATATTCATAAATATTGTTGCATTTTATGCTATTTAAGGAGACAAACAACTCTCTGCATGACTTGTTTGTTTTACCAAAGGCTGTATCGGCCACAGCCCGCTGTACAAATTAGCAAGGCATCAGGCTAACGGCTATCTCTAGCTTAGCTCAGGTCTGCACTTCTTCACATCCGAGCCCTGAGTGAGCAGTACTTATTGTTGTACAGGCATAAACACAGAACAGGTAGTCCACCTTAATGAAAAGGTTTTTTATAGAATAAACTCAGTGAATAACTGTTAAAGAATAAATGACTCCAAATAAATATCCATCTTGAATATGTTACACTACCCCCTCAAGGACCACAGAGTCTTTGAACTGACCTGGGAGCTGCCTTCTTCTCCTGGGCCATGCTGGGGTGAGGGACTCCCTTGGCTAATGAGTCATCCATACTCATTGTTGCTGGTGACAGCTGAACACCAACACTTTGGCATCATCTCCATCAGTGCCCCAGTGTAGAGAGAGTGAGGAAGGGCATGTGACTGCTGCAGAGGCTTTTCTTAATCATGCACTGGTCACAGCAATGCACAGACTGCTCCCTGTCCTCCTACTAGGCATGGCAGAAGTTCTCACAGCTCACCATTCAACTCCTCTGCCACTCAGGGTGCCGATGGCAGCAGCAGCAGTAACAGTGATAGTGGTGGTGCTCCTCACGGCCACCGTTCACATTCTCCAAAATCCTCTGTGTCACTGATGCTGGATCACTGGTGCTGCTCTGCCCCGGAGATCCTACAAGCATCTCTGATGCTGCATGTTCTACTATAACCTGGGTAACCAGTGGCTTCATCATCACCACATGGAAGTTTCTGAGACTCAGTGTGCCGCTCTCTAGGTCCATTTGGCAAATGTTGTTTTTTAAAAAGTCTAGGCCTAGAATGCTCATCTTGGACTTCAGCTATTAACATAAAATGCTAATCTTCTTGCCCTTGACTGTCAGCATCAGCCTTCCCCTCCCCAATATCGATGCTAACTAATTGGTCACTGTGCAGAGATGAGCTGTCATGCCCTCCAGCTTAAACAAAGCAGGCACCACTTGGGGTGGCCGGTAGCCTAGTGGTAGGAGAGCTGAGCCATCAGCCGGAAGGTTGTGGGTCTAAATCTCACTACTGACCAGGTATTCCTGGTTGTGTAACTGCCCATTGCTCCAGGTGGCACTGTGCTGTTCTGCTCCCAGATTGGGTGTAGTACAGCAGGAGAATGATACATTTCTCTTGTACATGACACTTGGGCATGGAACATCTTCATGCACTGCAGCTCAGCTCTGCACAGTTGCAGACGTCTGATATGGATGTTTGCCCCACCACAGTCACTGTTTGTTCACCGCTGGTGCTGTTCTTTTTGACTTCACCCTCAAAGGACAAAGCTAGCCGGCAATAGTCTCATGCCACTTGCAGCTCTGCCCTGGCCAGATATCTCAGACAGCCACATGTCCAGCAGCTGGTAATGGCGTGCCATAGTGGCCAGCTTCTGAGTTAGCCAGCACCGCTATACTGAGCTCTTCTGTCCCCTGACTGATTGAGGAGAAGGGGTGTAGCAGGATGGAGAGCCAGTCATGCTGAACCAGTGGGCTGAGTAGCTGATAAGATTCACCTGTGCTTTATTTGTGCCAGCCTACTTATAACCTCTCTAGGTGTCAATAATGACTTTCTGATTCTAGCAGTATCTGAGCTCAGGACTGACTTTCTCTCTAGCCTATTGGTAACTTACTTTTTGTAAGTCGCTCTGGATGAGAGCGTCTGCTAAAATCTGTAAATGTAAATAACCTCTCAGTAGGAGGCAGAGCCCGGAGAGAGAAGGAGAGAAAAAAAAAAGAAAAGACTGAAAAGCCCCTGCGGGCCTGCCCTTTAGTTTGTATACTGGCTGAAAGCCGAGTGATATTGAGCTGCACACAAAATAAAAGCAAACTCAGGTGTCTCCACACCTGCTCCCAGTGTCCTCACTCCTCCCAGCCTCCCAAAGACCTTACACTTCTGCTTAATTAAATGCTGTATCTGCCACAGCCACACTGTACAAATAAGCAAGGCTTCAGGGTAACAGCTGACCAGTACTTCCTGTTGTACTGGCATAAACACAGAACAAAGCCGCTAGCCCATCTTCATAAAAAGATTCCTTACAGATTTAAATAAGAAAGTAACTGTTAAAGAAAAAATAACTCCAAATAAACATGCACACATTTTTTGAATGTTATAATATGTTTATTACAGATGCTGTTCAATCTGAATAGAGGTACACGTCCTTGTATGTGTATTTATTATCCATTTTATCAGCTCCACTTACCATAGAGGAGCATGTTGTAGTTCTACAGTTACAGACTGTAGTCCATCTGTTTCTCTGCATACTTTGTTACCCTGTTCTTCAGTGGTCAGGACCACCATGGATCCTCACAGAGCAGGTACTATTTGGGTGGTGGGTCATTCTCAGCACTGCAGTAAAACTGACGTGGTGGTGGTGTGTTAGTGTGTGTTGTGCTGGTCTTAGTGGATCAGACACAGCAGTGCTGCTGGAGTTTTTAAACACTGTGTCCACTCACTGTCCACTCTATTAGACACTCCTACCTTGTTGGTCCAACTTGTAGATGTAAAGTCAGAGACGATACACTCTTTACTGCATCACACACTCCTCAGTCAAAACCGACCAGTTACGACATACACATCAGCTTTTAAGTTTAATAGATAAACACCATGTTTGTCTAAAACAACAAAGTAAGAAGAAAATAGTACCAGTTTAGCTAAGATTAGTTAGCCAGTCTGCTAACAGTTGCTTGCTCATGGTGAAAGCTGAGTTGGGATGTCAACAGGTTTTGGGAAGCTGATTTGGCAGCTGATAATAATGAAATAATAATAGTGAAGGCAGAGCTTGAGCGTCCAGATACTGGACAGTACTACAGTAAAGATTTATTATGAGTTTGTCCTTGATAACTGTGCACTATTCATGAAAACATTACTGACCTTTTCTGCCATGTCTGAGGGCAAAATTTAAAAGAACATGAAAGCGAGGAGTGTTGACTGTCATCTATTTACCAAGATATCAAACTTTTTACAGGCAATACAACACATGCATTCAACATTTCAGTGCTGAGGAATATGAAGGTGACCTTCAAGCAGAGTTGTGGTCGTCTGCCAAGATGTAAACTGAAAGAAACGGTTTCAATTCTTTCAAATTTTTTTTCAATACTTTTCTTTATAATTTATTTATTCATTACATAGCCCTGCGATGGGCTGGCGACCTGTCCGGGGGGTGTCCTGCCTTCCACCTGGTGGCCGCTGGGATGGGCTCCAGCTCCAGCGTTTGTGTAATAGAAGTTTCACTGAAACAGCACTTTGATATAAATGTCCATAAAGAACCTTCTTCTAAAAACAAACTATTCAGAACATTTTAAAGGGAACAAAATTTCAGGTTCAGTTTTATTTATTAAACTGAAAGTAAGAAATGAAAAGACAACAAAATGAGATACAAACAGCTCATAAAACCTTAACCATATAAAATACACAGAGATATACAAAAGCTAATTATCCACCACAAAGTCAGAACTTATTATTAAAAAATTACAGCATCCAACTGACATTCATTTCAAACAGATACTTTTTGTACATAACATTCAGAGAATACATGGCACAGTAAATAAGAGCACATCATTACATCATATTAGGATGGAAATGTAATTTATGTTCTAGCTAGAAAATCTCTATAATAAAATAAATCAAATAAAAACAACAATAATCTATAACTTATTAAATATAATACATACACTGTGTTTACAGAACTACAGTTGAGTTTAACAGGTTTCTTCTGATTTCCACACGTGGATCTGAGTAGAAAGCCAGAGTTGGAAGACTAAGACCAAAGGATTTAACAAGTGGAATCAGGTGAACTCCTGTTTATTTATAATGACAACATACAGCCACACCAGCCTGTTGTGGATAAGGCTGGATACCCTGATCTACTCTTTGAAAATGAATATTTGGTAATAGAGTCTAGTTCTAGTAGATTAATTCTGGTTTATTGGTGTTGGGGTTTAGAGATTGGTAGACTGAATCTGATTGGTTGATGTTGGGGTTTAGACTCTGGTAGGCTGAATCTGATTGGCAGGTGGCAGGGTTTAGGGTCTGGTAGAGTGAATCTGATTGATTGGTGTTTGGATTTAGACTCTGGTAGACCGAATCTGATTGGTTGATGTTTGGGGTAAGACTCTGGTAGACTGAATCTGATTGGTTGGTGTTGGGGTCCAGACTCTGGTAGATTGGACTCATGCTGATGTTTTGTTTTCCAGGCAGATCATTTTCATTATCAGCATCAGCCTGAAATCAGAGTAACACACACACAGTGGAAAATAACTCAAGCCTTA